CAGGAAAAACTTACATGAGGGGAGCATACAGTGAAGGCCAGATGTTTGAATTAGCTGTGCACAAAATGGTGTACAATTTAGCAGCAGGCATGCCTAATGGCATTTGGAAGGATAAACAACAGATTTCTGCACACACCTGGGGAATGTGTACACATAAATTAGGCATAAATTATGTGCCTGTGCACAGGTATCCAGGTTGGAGCCATATCGGTCTAGAGGCAAAATTAATCAAAACTTGTGGAAGGGGTGATATCTTTTATTAGACCAACAAGATAGTTGCAAACAAATTATTTTATTTATTGGCAAGCTTTTGGGCGCACACACCCTTCATCAGGCATAGGAGAGAGCAGAGATTGTAAAAGTTCTCCTAAATGGAAATGAAACTTCATACCACACAGTGCCCAAAAGCTTGCCAATAAATAACATTTGTTTGCAAACATCTTGTTGGTATAATAAAAGATATCACCCCTTCCATGAGTTTTGATACCTTGCACATGTGCACACATGCATTTGAAAACTGGATCTTATTGTCCCCACACATTCTGACTTGCTGATTACATAAGAGGTGCCATACTGGGCCACAACAGTGGTCCATCTAGCCCAATATCTGGTCTCTGACAGTAGTTCTTTTGGTGGGCTTCACTGCCCTACACACAGCAAATCAGCCTGTTTCTGACAGCAGCATGGAAAGACTTGAAGTCTAATCCCTCTTCTACTGAAAACGTCATATTTTCTATTAGGCAGACAACGTTCTTTGGGTAAATCTGATATCTTTTATTAGACCAACTAAAATAGTTGGAAAAATTCTTCTTTTCAAGCTTTCAGGTACAAACACCCTTCTTCAGGCAAAGGGAGTCTCTACAGTTGTTTTTTTACTTATTTTCTATGAGTCCATGATGCTGCTGTTAGAAATTTGTATTTCACGGTAGAACTGTGCATGGGAATGTCAGGCTTCTTTACAAAGCCCAAAGAACCTTTTCACTTCTGCACTTACAAGCTACTGGGTAGAGTAAGGGAAGGAAAGGAAATGGCAGTTTCATTGTGCCCCTCTCCTGCCTCCATGAGCCCATGTCACTTCCAGAAGGAGCTAAGGAAAGGGAAAGGAAAATGACACTGTTTGTTAAAAGAAAACTTATACCCCCAAAATTATAACGGAGTAAAACAGAGAACAAGTAGAGATAAGCTTTGCTCTACTATTTCCTTCAATTCTTCTAACTTTGGCAGAGAAATAGCAGTACAGAATCTCTTGGCAAGGGACAGAAGTTACACATAAACCAGTGTAAGTGATCAGAAACTGGTTTAAACCTGTAACAGAACATAAGTTCAGTGCACACAAGCCAGTTTCAAAATGGCCAAAACTAGTTTAAGATAAACCTGGTTGAATGTAGTATCAGACTTAACTGATTTGAGTCAAGCTGGTTTATGGAACTTCTGTCCCACACACCCCTCTACACCCAGGGACATATATCCGCTACTTCTCTCCACACAATATACAAGAGCAAGACTTGAGCTATTATGCAATCACTTATATATACACTATTCAAACGCACATAAATCAGGACAAAAATATATATATTTTTAAATAAAATGAAAATGTTATAGTAGATTTTTATTGTTAGTATATGAGTTTTTTATCTATACTTTGTAAAAATTATTTCTTCTGAAAGATTTTATGTGAATGGCTCTTGACTCAATTGGTTTGGTGCTGTTCTCAGGGAGGTCCAATGCCCCCCAAACCCCCACTACTTGTTTGAGGGTGATGGTTCATGTTGTTAGAGGGGTCACAACCCCTCACTATCTGATAGACCATGCCTGTAGCTTGTGACAGAACTTCTGGGACCCCAGGGGCAGGCTATGCATTGTGAGGGTGGGCCCTGTGGAGGGACAGTGTTTCTCAGTCCAGGGGAGGACATTCTGATGTCTGGGACCATATGATGGGGGCAGAGCATACTGTGACCAACATGGTAGTGAGTAGGGCAAGTTTTGGTGTCAGATGGATGGGCCTTTTTATGTCATGGACCATGTGACAGTGGAGGACTTCCAGTTCCAAGACGGCAACCCCTCTACCCCAAAGGAGTATGTCCAGGGGGCAAGGAGAGGGACTTCCAGTGGCAAAGGTCAGGAGTTAGGGGCAGAATTTCTAGTCTGAAGATGACAACCAGGGGGTGGGGCACCTGTTAAGCGGGAGGGCTTAGCAGTTTGACAAGGGGTATACCCTTGTGGCCATTGACAACTCACCAAAACTCGTTAAGTGGCCCTTCAGCCAAAGTAATTGCCCACCCTTGGTCTAAGGTCACAAAATGCCCCAGCATCTGGAGGAGAGCAGGGAGTCCTGGAAGAGAGCACCTAGCAGTCCCTCGGGAAGAGCGATCAGAACCAGGCTGTTTGCAAGGAGATTGAAACAGAGATGGCAGTTCATGGACTAGCACAGGGCTAAGGCAAAGGTGCTAAAGATGCACTATACGAGAACTCATGACACTAACCCAGTCTCAAGTGCCCTTAATATGGGGATCTAGGCTAGGGAAGACTCCACTGAGCCACACGTAATTGCTGACTCTGGGATGGAACTGGAGCCATCCAGTGACAGTGATGACGTGGAGCAGGGTTATGAGGAGGCTCTAGCTCAAAACCTAACCTATAGACAACCCTCCCAGGACAGACAGGAGGATCCTGAGGAGTCCCTCCTCCTGCTTTGGACGGCCTAGCAGGAGGTGCACCTGCTGTTGAGATGAGACACCTTGGATGGCACCAACCTTGGCAAGGGCCAGTATGCCATCATTCCACTTGACCACCATTAGCCTTCTCTTCACACCTAGGTCCCAGATGCCTGGAGGAAATGTCTAGATAGCTGGACACCAAACATACTGGTGGGTGATTGTATGCTCTCACTGAGGTGGTATCATCAACCCCACTGCAAAACAGTTACAAGCACCCAGTCTTGCTTTGTGCCAGGCTCAAGGCAAGGCTGGACATTACAAGTGAGAGCAAGGTGAGCTGCTTGAAGAAGATCACTGCAGTTTTGGAATTGTCCTTCCAACCAGTAAGTGGTTGAGATGGGGACGGGGTAGGTCCAGGGCAGGTGCAGTGGTGTAGGTGTACCCTGTCCTTCATTCCTAATCCACTGAACATTTAAAACCATACCTGGCAGTGGCAGCAACCTTCTTATTTAGGCAGCAGCGAGGAAGCCTATTGACACCGCAGCTCATTATAAACTACCCGATTCCTTCTAAACTCTTTATTCCACAGGTGTTAACAACTCTTTCTTTTTAATGGTAGTAATGTTCCACTGATCAAGCTATTCTTTTTTCTGTAAATTTTGCCATCTCCCAGTTCCTCCTGTTAAGGTAACTTCTACTTCACAGCCCAGCAGACTGTTTGAACTCAAGCTAGAAACATTAACTTAGGTGAGCCATCCAAGCTGTCTTGTCTCAACAGCTGATGCTAGACAGTCCAAAGCAGAAGGGACTCCTTAGACTATTCCTGTCCCTCCTGGGGGTTGTCTGTGAGCTGGGTCTTGGGCCAGAGCCTACTCACAATCTTGCTCCATGTCACCACCGTCACTGGATGGCTGCAGTTCCACTTAAGAGTGGAAACAGCTTTCAGTGAAGCATATTGGATGCATTCTCAAGATGCTCAAGATGACTTGATTTTGTTTTATGAATCTAAGAAAGAAGTACAATTAATTCTAATGACTACAGGACTAAAGAAACAACACTTTAAAATAATTTTACCTCATTTGTACAGTTTTTAATACAAAATGTATAATATAGCAAATTAATGCATGCTCCAATAAAGTTATAGTTGTTTTTGCTTTGATCTTAAACTGAATAAAATAGCCCTAGGCCCCAATCATATTGGCAAAGCTGCTAGGTTTTTTTTTTATCTGGAAAAAATGTGTGTTGTGCGATATGTGGTAATGCACTACACCAGAGGTTACCAAACTTTTTCTTATTGCATACTCCCTTCCAGATTTACCAGCCGCCCAGGTACCCCTACCAGCCTACTTCTTATATTTTAAACTTCTTAGATGCCAATTATTATAATGAAAATTAAATCTGCCGTTACACAATTTCTCCCACATACCCCTCAGAGATGTCTTGTGTACCCACAGGGGTATGCATACAATAGTTTGGGAACCCCTACACTACACTGTCTGCACCTCTCTTTTTAAAAATCCTGGATCTGCCCATGGGTGGGGGGCTGGAGCAAAAAAACAGTTCTACTCATCCTGAAGGTCTGCCACCACAGCTTGTTGTTCCAGGTCCTTAGGACAATCTGCTCCCACCAGTTGCAGCTCCAAGTGAAGACTTTCCTCTTCGTCCACTTTTATTTCTTCCTCATCCAATATGAGAATCTTGGATTGGGGGATCATAGAGCACAACTTGAGAGGATGTCTTCTGTGCACCAAGTTCCCAGCTGGCAGACTTCAAAGAGGCTAGAAAGCATGGTCAGATGTGTTAAGACTCCTCTGGGAGTAGGTGAGGATGCTACTTGGTCAGGGGCTGAAGGGCAAGGAAACCCTGGTGCAGGCTTGGGGCTGGGATTGACAGTCAGCTTTCGGGTGGTCCCAGGCATGGGACCACACTGGTTCACCAGACATCCAGCCTTCTACTCGCTGCTGCAGAAGGAGCCTGAGAGCGTGATCCTGGGCTCCCCATGCATCAGCAAATAGTAATGGCATGTTGGAGACCTGATCCCCTCTCTCAAAATTGTGTGTCCTGCCATGCACACATGGCATGGCAAGGGGCCCAGTTGTTGGGATTAGGGAACACATCCCATCACACCATTAAATGAACATGTGCCAACAGCCATACGCCTTAGTGTTTAATGCCACTATCCATTAGTTTAATGCCATACCATTATCTTGGTATGATTTAGACAGATATTAGTGAGGATCATGTAAACAAGAGCCAAGCAGGAGGAAGGAGTTCAAAACCCCTGTGGTCATTGGCCCTGCTGAAATTATGCATGCTTTTAAAACCCTAGAAAACAAAGCCATTGCCTTGCAAGAATATTAGGTGTCAAGAAAATTATTAAATAAAACAGAAATAAAAATGCATGCATTAGATTCCAGTAAAAATTGCTAATTGACAGAACTCTCAAATCAGGCATATCTGACAGCAGAGCTACTTCTGAATTTGCAGTGTAATTGTAAGTGAGCTTCTACCTCAGCAGAAACAAACAGGCTTTTTCTTACACTATTTAAGATTCCACGTCTCCTCCTTTCGCGAGTAAGTCCAGGTAGCTATCAGAAATATGTTTAACTGCCACTTCTGCATACAGTCCTGGAATGAATAAAGATTTTAATATTGAAACAGTTCCTTTTACAGCTTTGGTTTTCAGAACACAAGTTTCTTTACCTTTCTCCCTTCCCTCCCCTTTTCCTCCCTCTCCCTATTTTTGAAGGGCTTTCTTTTCCAGGTGGCCTTTACCTTTCATAACTTGGTGATGAATAGGACAGTGATAAGAATTTTGCTCAGATGCTTTAAAACAGTACCCACTTTCATTCACTTAATAGGAGCTTAGAGAACTTTACCTGTGTCTTAAACAAAATTATGTTTTTCTTATGACTCCCTTTGTGCATGACAACATTAAGTTTATTGGAAAAGTTCAGAGCTGTCAGTGGCTAATGCCAGATGCACTATTTCTGACGTAGGTGTCTGGAGTAGGTCAGAGTGACTCTCACATTTGAGTCTTCTTTCATGAAAGGGTACATCTGGGAAAGTGAAGAATGACTCCTAGTACTAACTTTAACGTTCACCTGTCTTGTAAAAAAATCTGTCCAGAGACTGATACTGAAGTCATTTAACTTAATAATGTGTACTGGATGAGTGATTTTTTGGTGTTCACACTAAAGGTAAAGATTTGGGCATCTTCGCAGGAGTAGTGTAGCAGTAAGCCCAAACAGGGGCTGCAGCCAGAAGTGAATACAGCAACTGAAGCACAAGAAACGGGGACAGGGAGAAGAAGGAAAAATAGAGGTTGCTGGATTTCTTGAAAAAATGTTCTTCCTGTGAGAAGAGAATGGAGTAGGGTTTTCCTGCCACTATGGAGTAGTTTGGAAAAAGAATTGTAACTTGAAAGTATTTGTTTAAAATAACTGGCGTGTCAGTTACATAAGTCAGAGGAGCTTTCTGCACAGCTTCCCTGCGCCTGGACAATACAAACATACAAAGACCACATTTCAAGTTCAGATATACTTCAGGTAAAAAAAAGAAATGAGAAGCAGCAGGAGAAGCTGGAACTCTATCTGTACACTATGGTGAGGTCCAGACAAGTGCGGTACGTGACACTGCAGTCACATCTGCGGCACCACATACTGCAGCTCGAGGATAGAGAACCCCTGGTCTATTTATCTGCTATCGCATGCTTCAGCAGACTCACAGCAGCCCAGCTTCAAAACTCCACAATTTTCCAAAACGTTTTGGATGCCTCATTTTGTTTTGGAGATACCTACTATGAAACTATGTTTCTGAGCCTTCCATTTCGATTTGGATTCGGCATTTCAGGCGCCCAAATGGCCTGAAACACCTCCAAAACAAAACAGCTGCTGAAATTTCGCACAGCCTTAATGTATACACATGACAGCACATAGCAGAGCAAACTCGATGAATCAAGTCTGCTGTGAGTCCGCTGAAGCATGCCAATTAGCATACTCCAGCAGGCTCCGCATCACATATATTTAGCATCCCTGTGTTTCAAAACTAAAGTTTGGCAAACGAGCTTTAGTTAAAGTGCCCCCACCACCATTTTGAAGCATTGGACATTGAATATACGTGATGCTGCAGGTGCTTTAATTAGAGTGGCTCTCAACACCACCCTAATTAAAGTGCGCCCCCCTCCACCCCCGAGCACGTGTATAGATGCCCTATATTATCACACCCAAGTTAAGGGTTTTAGCTAGAAGTAAAAACAGTTTGAAGGGCTGTGAAATAAAAGAGGTACATTACCTGGAATGGCAAAAGCAAAATTGCAGAAGAAAGGATAAATTATTTAGTGGAACATCAAGCCCATTAAAAAGGAGAAGGTCATTAACATTTTAGGAGATTAGCCTGAATCAGGGAGATCACAATGTGCCATGAAGTCAATTGAGTCTCAGCACTGCCTGAATAGAAATGCTGCTCCCCCTCCCAGGTTGCTGGTTTTAAAGTTTGAGTGGAGCAAGACTCAAAGGGGCTGGGGGGGAAGCTGCACCACTGTACCCCCCCCCGACAGATCTGCCCTTGCCAGTGGACCAGATTTAACACACCAGCAACTGCATCCAACCCATGGCAGGGAAGAGTGGTGCAGAAGCATAAATAGGATATGGTTACAGGGACACCAGAGCTGATCTAGAAGGGGCACCTAGGTCCCCTCAACCTCCTGCAGCATAGCTTGCCCTGGCTCATCTCCCTTCACTGCCCTGCTCCTAACCATTTCTCTGCAGCACTGCCTGCTACCACACCAACCCTCCCTCATGCCCCCCTCACTGCAGCTGCTCCTTTTCTCATCACCAACTTCATGGCTGGTGGCAGTCAGCAACAGGAATTGGTGTCGAGCAGCAGTGGCTACGGTAGGGGGTGCAAGAGAGAATTCAGCACAGAGCAGAGAGGACTGAAGCAACAGCAGGTGGTTTGGAGCAGCAGCAGTTGGGTTGCAAATGGCAGCTTGCCTTCAGACCTAGCTGCCTTATTTCAGCTACCCTCTGCCCTAGAAGGTTGATGAAACTTTGCACAATTCTCTTAAGGGCCCTTATACAGAGATGGAAATGTTGTTTACTTATGCATGCTTACAATCATCTAGTTGGATGCAAAAGAAATGAAACCTTTTTGTCACAAATTAATATCATCTCTCAAAAACCAAATAATTTGCCTTTACAGTAAACAACCTACAGCATATACACCTGCCTGAGAATACAGGAAAAATGACGCAGTTTTCATACAACATCAGACCGACCACTGCTGCAAAATCAAAAAGCACAAGACCCAAGCATTAAGCCAATGGCTTTTGACCTTGTTTTTTCAAGACCCCTGTCATTCAACACAAGGCATGCCTCAGAAAGTACCAGCTCTTAGGTTTCACTTGTTTTTTTGACTATGGAAAAATACTAGAGCAATTCTTCTGTTGGAATATACTCAAAGACCACAACAGGACAGAAAGGTTTTGACACTGTGGATTCTTCCAATTTGAAATCTCGGGGGGGGTTATCGTGTGAATCGTGTGCAAGTGTTTGCACACCTGACAGTTCTAATATTGCATGACATCCTGCAGCACCCTTAAAAAGATCTTGCAACACCCTGGATGAAAATTACTGCATTAACCACAAATGAAGAGTTGCAAGGAAGAACTTGACAAGAACATAAAGAATAAGCACAGGGTGTATTTACTTTGTATTTTTGTATGTATTTTTTTACCATTTAAAAGAAAAAAAAATATGCTAAATACTAAACCAGCAGAGGTATTTTTGATTATTGTATTATTTCTGTGTTGTATACCAAAGCAAGATGTTCAGGGAGTTGAACTCATTTTATTTTGTGTACAATGAAACACAGCATCTAAAATCCAATTTGTTTACCAACAGGCTGAAGTCTATATGGCATTTGGCAATTATGTACAAGTGAGAGTTAGGTTCCAGCCTTAACTGCTGAGCTGTTTCAGCATGCTTCTTTCAGAGTTACTGGCAAATATATTTTGAAAGTGTTACTTATAACCGCATTTATCTACATCTGGAATAGAGGAGTCATCGCTATATTTTCCTATTCTCCAACCCTACCAAAGCTTATACCAATTTACAAAAGCATTTTTACAGTCCAGTAAAAGGATAGGTCACCCTGGTGAAACTCAAAACAGGGACCTGATGAAGAATGCATTGCATTCGAAAGTGTGTCTAAAATTTAACTCAGCTGTGTACTTGGTCCAATAAAAGATATCGCCCACAAAGATCCTTGCCTCTCACATTGCAGAACAGCCAATTTAGGAGACTAATTTTGCTCAGCACCACCCAGTGCATCATACGTCCTGGCATACTCTGGTACACCCAAACTAATTTCTCCCCACGTCCTGTGTGTTTACATCCATCAATAAACACTTTTAGATAAGATACCAATGTTTCATTTTGACCAAAAGTGTCATTTTTTTTCCTTCCAGTCAACAATGTCAAAGTAAGTTTCAGCAGTCCCAAATGAAAGTTCTTCAGAGCTTTTCATCCCATGAAAAAAGATTTTTTTTAATTTTAATTTTTTTTTTTTTTTTTTTTTTTAATCAGAGATGAAAATAAATGGGAGTTAAGGAATTCTCACCCCACAGGGAATTCCACGTTACAAAGTAGATGGGCAGAACCCAGCTACACTGAAGCTTTTCCAAAACTGTTAAATCTTTTTCACTGCTTGTCTATATCCCTTCAAATTCAGTGTCAAAAGTTTAAAACCCCCTATAGTGAGATGGGTGAGTAACACAAAGCACCATGAGTTAGAGCCTCCCCTCTCACCCGCCCCCGAACCACAGACCTTCACCTGTTGCACTGGGGGGCTTGAGCCGATCTGCATCAGCCCAGCCCGCAGGTGGGGTGCTCCAGCAGTTTCCGAGGAGGCTGCCAAACCACCCCTCTCCCTAGCCTCCCCTTACCTCCCCACCAGTTCCAGGACTGTCAGCAGGGGGAGGAGGGAGCAGCAGGCAGCTGTTGACTGGGCTTGGCCTGGCCAGAGCTGGAGGGGTTGGGCAGGGTGGAATGGGACGGAGCCCCTCCACCTCACAAGCCCCGCCAGCTACCCTGGCTGGGATATTGGAGGAAGCCAGGCTGGGCCTGAGAGGCAAAGGGAGGCTCCTTTCCCCTACCTTCTGCCTGGGTCTTTTGACAGCCACAGCAATAGCTGCTGGTTCAGCTTTTTCTGGCCAGAGCTGGAGTTCTGGGGGGTGGGAAGAGGGGAGGCAGGGTGGAACAGAGCCCCCTCGCCTCATGGGCCCAGCCTGACTGCTCCCAATACCTCTTGGACTAATATCATGCATAATTCTCGGTCTCTTGAAGGCTCAGATTAAGCATAGTGGCTTCTTAACCTGGCAGGGAAAATACCATGCATCTGTGTCCAAGAAGGCAGTTTTCCTGAACCACTTCTCAGGAGAACTGCTCTTCTGGCGTGGTTCAGTACCCCCGGAGGTACAGTGGCTTTAAGCCCAGTTTATGGAAATGCGAGTCTCCTCCCTTGCTTGCTCCTGCAGCCATATGGCTGAGGGCAAGCAAAACTCGGGGGCATCCGAACCCGAAGCCTCCGGGCTGGGGCCTGCAAGTAGGATGCCCGTTAGTTTTGGAAATGAGCGAAGCCCCAGGTATGGGTGGAGGATGTTTGCCGGTAGCAGGGCCACTTGTGGTTCTGGACTCTTGGATTTGGAATTAGTTTTGGCTAATTTGGCCTCGGATACAATTTTAAAAAAACAAACAAACCTTAGCCAGGGTAGCAGTGGTGGGGTCCTGCGAGGCAAGATGTCTCTGTTTCACCACACCTTGCCCCTCCAGCTCTGGCCAAGGCAAGCCCAGCCAGCAGCTGCCTACTGCTTCCTCCTCCTCTCCCTCCTCGCCCCCACCCCCTGCTGACAGCCCCACAAAGGATGAAAAATTAACAAGTTCCCTAACATGCTCTGCTTTAGAGCACCTTCATTTAATACCTGATTTGACAAGGGTTAATTTTTCATGCGATTGGCCATTTAAAAACTGCTCTGCCATGCACATGTATTACATCACAGCTGTAGAGCACTTTCAGGGGCCTGATGGCATGAAAAATACAAGTTGTGCGAGTGCCCAAAGTCTAGGGAGAGCAGAAAGCGCAGCCTCCACCAGGAACGAAGGTACGTACTCAACAGCAACTTGCACACTGATAGTTCACTGAGGAGACACGCTACATTCAGTTTCACTTGAAAGAGGAACTACTGAATTTCCAGGATGAAATGTTGGCCCCATTCAGGCAAATGAGGGACAGGATTTTACTCCTTATCTTTTATAAAGCATATTCACTATCACTTCTCAATTCCTCTATATATGATTTTATACATGCTAGGGTCTCCTTCAGTGACTTCAGTGGATACAAAACCAGAATCATTCTGGAGTGAAACTGAAAAGCAGGAGTACTTCCTGATACTCAGGGATCCCAGTTTTCCCCGATTAAAAACAAACAAACAAACAAATTCTCTGACAAAAATTGCAAATTCTCTACTTAAAACCCCCAAACCCACAATTAAAATGAAACACCACTATATATACAGGTATCAGCTGGACACATTGTTTTATTGATATATTTGCTATTTTAAAGCACTTTGGAAGCCTACCAGTGCCTCAGTCTCTATAATAAAATAAATTCTAAGTACTTATAAATTTTGGTATGTGGTTTTGGGTCTTTTACTAATGAAAAAGTCAGAGTTCCCCCTGCCCCCTTAGCTCACAGAACACAGGCCTGCTGGTGTGTCTCATTCCCCACCCACAGCCCCCTACCCCTGCCAGTGCTCCTCACTCCCCCCGACTACTGCCCCCCAGCTGCTGATCCATCCTCCCCACACCCCTTCCCTCCCTGCTCCCCCTTCCACCACAACAGACTTACCAGCTGCATGCAGCTGTATCGGAAATCAGATTGCCATTGGCCAATATGCATCCTTAAATATCAGCTATCAATATCAGGCCCCAAAAATCTCTATCGGTGCATCTCTATCCTTTTTCATAGCTTCATATAAAACTATGAAATTGGAGTTATATATTGCATTTTGAGATTACTTTGCCTTTATCATTTTTTAGTCCCTTGCTTTTTTATGTTCAATAGACATTCAAAATATTGTTTTGTAGTGCCAAATATTACTGATCCATCATCCTTTTTTCAGGGAGAATATAATGCAATAAAGCTATGTAAATGTATTTGTTAATTTTATTATTTTAAACTGGAGGTTGGTTGGCATCAGTGCAAGGCAAAAATGTTCTCCACATCACTGCAACACCATTTAATATATGGTAACTAATTTTCTTCAGTTTGTCCTCTACTAGGGTCAACAAAGCCACTTTCATCAAAATGTTACTTTCCTGCTTGAAGACAGAGATAATGCATTTAGCAAACAGATTTTATAAACAATTTTATTTTAAGTTCCACTTTATGATCTTTGTTTACGACAAACATTGTTGCAACAGTTTCCATTAAAACAAACAGAAGTAAACATTTTAAGTAAATGCACAAGTTCCATCTATTCAATATACTGTATTCATAGCACCAGGTCCTTGGGGATGTGATGCAAGATATACGTTGAAACAGTAATGGAGGTCTGTGAGCCACTGCTCTTGGACTTCACCGGTCTTCAGTGTCTGGGGACAAAACAGAAAACACGATGAAAACCTCAAGTGACCCAAAACATTTTATTGATAATATTCATGAGCTTCAGTTTCTTACCTGTATGTTTTTAGGCTAACCAGCCACTCCCTTACAAACAAGAACTCACATACAAGTATCCTAACCATTCATATCATCCATAATTCTTACACACCACAGGTTCCCCCACTTGCAGAGGTGTGCCCCATGTTGGAATGCAGCACTGCAATATGTGCATCTGGGAAATTCCACGGCAAAGGATTTCCAGAGCAGGCGTATGCAAACAGAGGCCCCGGAAGCCCTGGGAGCACTTGCTTGGGGTTCCCCCATTTGCAGAGGTATGCCACGAGTTAAGGCATGGCAGCATAATACATGCATCCAGGGGATCCTCCGCTACGGGATTCCAGGGGAGCACATCTGCAAGCAGGGAACCTAGTAAGCAGGCACTCCTGGGGCTTCAGGGACTCAATCCTAAATTGGAGGACTGCATCCAGTTCTGGGCGCCGCACTTCAGGAGGGATGTGGCCAGCATCGGGAGGATCCAGAGGAGGGCCACCTGCATGATCGGGGCAGCAGGGCAGGCCCTACAAAGGGAGGTTACAGGACCTGAACTGGTTCAGCCTCCACAAGAGAAGGCTGAGAGGGGATCTGGTGGCCATCTATAAACTGGGAGACCAGCAGGCAATGGGAGAGTCCCTGTTCCCCCGAGCACTACTGAGAGTAATGAGGAATAACAGCCATAAGTTGACCAAGAGTAGATTCAGGAGGTGCTACTTCACTGTCAGGGCGGCTAGGATCTGGAACCAACTTCCAAGGGAAGTGGTGCTCACTCCTACCCTGGGGGGTCTTCAAAAGGAGGCTAGATAGACACCTAGAT